TTCCAGATTTAAGGAACCACATGTATTTATAGTTTTATCTTCATAGCACACCACTCTGATCTCTTCCTCTCCTGCTCTGACGCCTCCTGAATCCCTCCTATAAGGATTGTTGTTTCCTGGGGCCAACTGCCCACACCAGGCTCATTTCTTCATTGGGAAATCCTCGCCCTACCACATCATCACAATCCTTTGCCATATTAGGTAACATTCATAGGTTCTGGGAATTGGGACCTGGGTATCTTTAGAATGTTATTGTTCAGCCCATCACATCAAACCTTAGTAAGTAAAACATTTGTTATTTCTTTAAAGGTCATTTCCTGTATTGTAAGACTTCCCTGATGCAGAAGTATTTCAAAAATAGTGATAATATGGATACAAACAGTATAAATTGAAGTTTTCATTTACTGAATAAGCCCTTTATGATCCTTCAGATTAATATTTTAAATAACATTGCAAAGATACTTTCAGATCCCACAAAAAGCTGTTTTCAAGCAGCCTTATTAGACGCTGTAAATGTTATCTATTAGTAAATAATGATTTGTAAAGAGCAATATGTAAAATTACTAATAGTGCTTCCTAAAGGTCTCTACTAAACAAATCTTAGTATTATGGTCTGAAGGACTAAAGTCTGACCAAGATCAAGAATATGAGGTATGATCAAGAAATACAGTGAATGTTCAAATTTTTTTAGAAATGTATTACAGTAAGACACATTGCTTTTAGAAAATTTCAAAATATCCCCCCCACGCACGTGCACATGTGCACGTGCACGCACACACACACACACACACACATTTTGGTTTTTTGTTTTTGTTTTGTTTTGTTTTGTTTGTTTTTCCAGTTTTTTTTTCTTTTTATTGAGGTTATTGGTACACAATAATCTAGGTATACAATACAATTACATTCATCATTGGGATTCTGTACCTTTACATGACAGGTCTTGGTTCTCATTTTTTCCCCTTGTGCCTGCCCTCCCTTCACCCCCTCCTCCCCTTCCCATTTATAAACACTTTATTTCCATTTTTTCAGTTTCTCATATTTTTTTCCTCTCCCTTATTACCTTTCCCCCACCCTTCCCACTTTCCTTACACCTTTAGCCCTTTACTTCCTATTTCACATTATTAATTGTCACATTAGGATCCTGTGTACTATTATAGTTTTTCACACCAAAGAAACTATTCGGTATTTCAGTTAAAGAAATCTCTGTATGAACATTAAAAATAAGGAATCCTAAAATAAAACTAAAAAGGAAAGTAAAAGAGAAAAGGCAATGATGTAACATTAAAATAATCCTTAATCCTGGAGATGAAAATGGTCCCTGAACATATTTAAATTGCTTCTCGCTCTTATAGTCTTATCTTATTCTTTTTTCATTATTTAGAGAATACTTTATTAGTTTCTGTAATCAAACCCACGTAGATATGACCTTACATATTTAGTACGATGTGTTACCCCTGTACACAGGGGAAAAAAAAATAAATTAACATTTCTAGACCAATATGGTTGTCCATTTCTGTACAATGCCAAGTTAACAAAGTAAATTGGGATGATGGTTTCCAAAGTTGGCAGCACCGTTGAAGTTTCCCAAAATTCAATTTATATATATATATATGTGTGTGTGCACACACACACTTTGAACACACTTTTCATTCTTGGCACTTCCTGAAGCAGTTCTGGAAGCCTTTCAGGAGTGTCTTTAGATGTGCTGTCATGGCTGCTTCAATGTCCTTATCAATTCAAAGATTTACCTTCTTTTTAAATTGAGAATTTACTTGCAAAGGCATAGTAACAAAGAAATATTTACCCTCCATAGTCATACTGACTTCAAGGAAGAGCCAGAAGTTGCGTTGTGACAAATCTGAGGAATGTGTGATTGGTAGGTGAGGACACGCCACAGTGTTTTTCCAAGCCTGCCTTTCCTCTGCAGCAGCATTTACTAAATTTTTATCACACTTGCAAAGACACTCACAAAAACTTCCAGCACTGCTTCAGAAAGCAGCAAGAACAATAAGATATGCATGTTTAAATTGAAGGGGAATAATAGCAATACATCTTTTACTGTAATAAAAAATTTAAAATAAACACACACCATAGTTTTGGATTACTCCATGTACACTTTCCCATTTCTGGTTAAAATGGTTAAGCAGCTTATGTTTTCATATTTCTGGTAACAGTGAGGCAGGTCTTTCCTGGTGTACAGGCTGAGATGATATCTTGCAGAGCACAGTGGCTTTGGAGTAGGCTGACTTGGGTTCTGCCCTTATGTCTGCCACTTTCATACTACAGCTGCGATGGTCAATTCTATGTGTCAGCCTGGCTACACTCTAGGTGCCAGTTAATCAGTCAAGCACTAATCTGGGTGTTGTTGTGAAGGTATTTTGTAAATGTGATTAAAATCTATAATCTATTTACTTTAAGTAAAGAAGGTTATCCCGGATAATCCAGGTGGGCCTGATTCAATGGGTGGAAAGGCCAGAAGAGCAGAACTAAGACTTTCCTGGGGGAAAAGCAAGCCTGCCTCTGCAGTGCAGCTCCAACTCAAGCCAGAGAGTTCCGTCCTGCTGCAGAGGGATTCCCAACTTGCTGAGTCAATCCTCATAGTTGAGTAAATAATTCCTTGGGTATGAAAGTCCTTGGAATGGGGGATAGGTACTGGGAGAGAACTCTCCTGTTTTGGTGGAACTCTGATTACACGGTGCATAAATGACTATCTCTCTGATTTTTAATTTCTTCACCTGTAAAATAGGCATAGCAATAGCCTAGTGACTGGGATATAGTAGATCTTTTTATTATTGTCCATCTACTACTATTATTATTATGAAAAGAATGTCCTATCTGTCCCCTTTCCTCACCTTATTAGATGGTTTTCCCTTACCTAGAATTTAAACCTGCTTTTCAGTAACATAGGCCTGTGGATCCTAACTCCTCCTCTGTCTCTAAAAATGAGGTCTCCACCCCACTGTCCCCACAGCTCCCTTTGGAGGATTTGAGCCCAACCATTGTGCAGTTACATTGCTCTGTGTGGTGGGCAATTTATAAGGGGTTGGACCAGATATTCCGATCCTGGCAAGCTTCTTGCACATGGCTGTGAGTGGATTTAAGATGCCTCTTCTGGGGCAGCTAGGATGGCTGGGAAGCTGAGGACAGCCAGGCCCTGAACCTCTTCTCTGGCTCATTTTCCCTTCCTGAGGTACACACCCAAAAATGTACTCACGGCTAGAGAAGAGGATTCAGAGAAAAAAACCACTCATTCAAAAAGGAAAGCAGAACTTATATAAATATTCCTGTGCTTGGATCACATTTGCTAACACTCTACTTACTAAAGCAAGTGTGAGGCAGAGCTAAGAGGTAGAGACTATCCACTTAGGGGAAAGAGGACACGCAAACAAGGAAGCCATTAAAGGCAGCTATTAACACAATGTCAGAGTCCGCCCTGCTGCCACCAGTGTACACAAGCCTCCTACCTGCAAAGCACACCCCCCATGCATAAAGGCCACCGAAAGTCCTGTTGAAGCTCAGGCCATGATTTTGTAACCTGTATCTTTATTAGGAGACCTGCAAACCACAGGACAAATGCACGTACCACAGTTCCCATCCCCTGCCCTCAAGAACTTTGGCTATTGCAGCATTTCCTGCAAGAGCGCCACTGTCTCGGGTTTTCCTCCACACTGCAGATCTCCACTCTGTAATTTGTATAGCATTTCTCCAAACCCATACTGTTTGCCCTCAGTCAAATCACATGGTGCTGAAAGTTCAGCAGATTTGTTCAGAGTTTCTGGCAAGTGGATGCTTGACTGTCCCATCATTCTCTTTTCTTGAAATATCTTCCCAAAAATATTTGGATGCTGGGTATGGTGGTGCACGCCTGTAATCCCAGCACTCGGGAGACTGAGGCAGGAGGATCTCTGTGAGTTCTAGACCAGCCTGGGCTACATAGTGAGTTCTAGGTCAGTCTCAACTACATAGTGAGACCCTGGCTAAAAAAAAAAATAAAAAAAAAAAAAATTGGTAATTCCTCTCTTTCAACTGCATTGTTTAACATGTGGTACCAACTAGCAATTGATAATTAAACTAAATTGTTGAAAATGTAAACAATTTAATGTTTCTTTTTTTGTGAAATATATAACTATGTGTTTGTGTGGGCCAGTGCAATTACTTCAAAACCATTGGTTAAATGATCAATTGTAAGACACCACCCAGTCTGAGATACAATAAAATGTGAGGAATGTTGCATTTTATTTTTTTTTCATCATTGCATTTATTGGTACATTTTAGGTATACAGTACAGTTACATTCATTATTGGGATCTTGTACCCTTAAATGACAGGTCTTGGTTCTCATTTTTTCATTTGTCCCTGCTCTCCCTTCATCCCTCCTCCCCTCCCCCTTTACAAACACTTCATTTCCATTGTTTCATTTTCTCATTTTTTTCTTTTCCCTTATTAGCTTTCCCCTACCCTTCCCACTTTCCCTACACCTTTAGCCCTTTTCTTCCTATTTCACATTGTCAATTATATCATTAGGATCTTATGTACTATTATAGTTTATTCACACCAGAGAAACTATTCAGTAGTCACACATGTGTGACTTTTTAATTCACTTAGGAGTATATCCTCAATATATATCCATTTTCCTATGAATGACTCTAATTTGTCATTCTTTATGGCTGAGTAGTACTCCATTTCATAGAAAAACCACATCTTCTTTATCCAGTTTCCAACTGATGGGCAAATGGGCTGTTTCCAAGTTTTAGCTATTACAAACTGTGCCACTATAAACATAGGTGCACATATATGTCTGTGATATGATTCTTTTAATTCTTTTGGAAAGATACCCAGCAGAGGGATGGCTGGGTCAAATGAGGAATGTTGCAGTTTAGAATGGTGGAATGTGGGAGATTTGAAAGTAATCAGCATATATAAATATTTAAGGTCATATGTCTTAGTTACTTTTCTCTCACTGTTGATTACCCAAATACCCAATACCCAAAGTTGAAGGAGAAAAATTTTATTTGGCTTACAATTCATAGAAGTTTCAGTCCAGAGTTGACTGGCTCCAAAGCAATGTGGCTTGGTAGAGGAAAATCCGTTTACGGTGGGCAGAAGGTAGCAAAGCAACAAGGGACCTTAGCAACTTCTTTCTTCTCCTTTTATACTCTGTCTAGGCGATAGATTAGGGCAGTGCTAAACCAATCAGTGGAGTGATTTAATAATTACACACCCTTAATCCTAGCATCAATGTTCCACCTTCATGTTCTGAAAAAGCCCTATCTAAAACTGCTTGAGGCTTTGGGGGCCCTTCTGATTGGTTTCTGTTTGGTTCTGATTATATAACTTTCTTGTGTGTTTTTTTAAATATATATAATTGGTCTCCTTTAAATTCATTTGGGTTATGTGGCACCTGGCATAAGAGACTCCATTCTAATCTGGTCTGGTCTATTAGATCTAGTGTCAGAGCTCAATCCAAAACAATGACCAGCACTAACTTTTATTTAACAGTAGATTTTCTTGAATTGGTAACTAATCTGTACTTTTATGTAGGTGAAAATGTTTAAAGTATAAATAATAATTCTTTTCTTCACTCATATTCATTCTTACCATGTTTGTTTTATTTGTACTGCTCTGTCCAGAACTGCTATGATATAGTTAAGTTTTAAGTAAAAAAATATATATATGGTTTTTATCAAATACATTCTAGGTATCAATTATCATATAATTTTTCTTGTTCAAGTTCCTGATAAGCTCAGTTAGTAAATCTTTTTATTCTATAAAGAAATTGCTGGACTTATGCCAAATATTAAATGCCAATTGAATTATTACTTCATAAATGAGATCTGGGAGTGGATTTTGAAATTAAAAAAAAATTATTCTCCATTTAGTCAAGTTGGTTTTGTTCTATCAGCTCTCTGGGAAGATCCTGACATTAGTTAGCTTTTCCATCACTGGGATACAATGCTCGACACTCACAATTTAAAGTAAGAGAGGTCCACTCTGGCTCCATGGTTTGAGGGGATTCAGTCCGTGCTCAGTTGGCTCCAAGGAAGAAAAGTCATGGTGAAAGGGTGTGGTGGAACAAAGCTTCCGAGTTCATGGTGGCTGTGAACCAGAGAAGAGGAATGAATGGGGAGGAGGGAATGAAGGTCCACATGTAGTACCCAAGGTTGTACCTCTAAGACCCACCCTGACACATCCAGAAGAGTGTCCACCTGTCTCCTGGGCAGTCTCAAGACAATGAAGTTTACACAATCAAACTTAACTGTTGCAATTCTATCAGGAAGGAATGTGACTGCTGAGATTTGATTGGTCTGAAAATTTGTTATTTATTGTTATGCAGGCTGCATCCTTCCTCCACAGCTCATTCCAGTCTCATTAAAGAGAAAATTATGAATTAACAGCAGCTCATGAATAATTTGATTTCCATTTATCCTCTTGCCATCTTTAATGCATGACACAATTACAAGTTTTTCTCTGTGCTCAGTAAATGGTGGTCTTCACATTTCTTATGGCTAGTATTGCTTCTTCAAGAGAGAAAATTTTCAAAGCATCTCTTTAAAATAAAAAAAAATTAGGAAGGATAAATGAAACATAAACTGATATTGATCTGCTTCATTTACACAAGTCACTCTTAAACAAAAATATCAATTTCATTTTTCTTTCTTTTGCATACGGTTCACAAACTATGCCCATCATTCAAAGGTGCTCTTCCCGTGACCTGTGGCACTGTGATCCCTGCACAGCTTTGTAAGTGCAGTTGCATCCTTGCTCTTTTGCTGTGTTGATTTCAAGTTAGTGACTTCAGATTGCAGCTACTGATACCGATCCATTATCGTCTTTTCTGGACAGGAAATCGTGCACCGAGGCTTGGAGGGATGGAGTAGTGGAGGGGCTTGTGCTGCCTGAGCCTCAGTGCTCTTCAGAGTTCATTGTGCCGCTCTGCAGTCAGTTATGCTCTCTGCTTTCCCTCAGGCCTCCCCAGTCCAGTGCCTTCTACATTTCACAGCACCTGTGATGTTTCCGATGCTAGGCTCTGCATAGAAACCATAACTAAAACAAGCATGAGTCCTGGAAACCAAGATGTCCTTACTGTTGCAGGTCTTAGGACCAGAGGGAAAGGTTTCAGGATATTATTCCCTCTCCAAAATGTTTATCCTGCTACATGGAGCCTGAGAAGGCTCAAGAGAATTTCTCGGTGTATATAACATTATTGTATGCAACCTGAGACACAAGAAACAGTCAGAAATAGGTCTTGGGCATCCTTTAAGTTTTAAATAAATTTCTACATCAGCTGGAGATAAAGTATGTCTTTAAATGTGTGTCAAGGATTTTGACATATGAAATGTGGCCATTTAGATTCAGGTTCACAAGGCCACCTGATTAATTCACGAGTCCACCCTTTCATCTTAGACAGACATCACTTTGACTTGAAGAGTGACAGTTGTTGCTGTCTTTTCATTAATATTCCAAACCACCAAAACGCATACAAGCGGGGTTTCACCAGGTGCATTCTGGTGATCCCGCCTGCATTTATGTTCTAGAAAGTCGCACATATTTGTATTTGAAAATCACCAGCTCTATAATACCATGAAAGGGAAGTGGGTTTTTTGGTGTGGCTTTTCACTGGTACCACCTCAGGGATGGCTGCTGTGTGTTTTGCAGTGTAACAGCTCTTAGGACCACTGCTGAAAGTAACGGGTGCAATGACCATGAATAGGTAATTCCGTTGGTACGTGCATGCCACTATGCTCAAGGGCAGGGGCTCTGGAGAAGACCACGAGGCTCGAATTCCTGCTACCTGCAATAGATGTGAGCCACGTAAATAAACACTTAATTGTGTCACCCAGATTTACTTCTGTACTCTGCACAGTGGAAGATAATTAATGGAAAGTCAAAAGGAAAAACTGGGATTTTATAAAATATAAAAAGCAATCCATTATCTTGAATTTATCTTTTTAGGGGGAAGGACAGCTCAAATTATGGGAGGCCTGAGGCCACTCCCACCCTCCCAATATACTGTTGCTGCTCTTATTACCATAAAGAAAGTAAAAGGACCCCAAAGAGAGCGTATAGTTGCCTTTCTGTGTGGGAGTGGCTTTCAGGCCAAAGAGACGAAGCAAGGACATTCCATTTGATCACAACATCAGAAAGTGGCTTCAACCAAGGATACATTTTTGAAGAAAAAATAAATAAAAGTAGCTAGAAGAATCTAACTTGCTTTGCAGACATTTCCCTGGCTTTCTTTCTTTTATTTTTTAAAATTTTATTGGTACATTTTAGGTATGCAATATAATGACATTCATCATTGCAGATTTGTACCTTTACATAATATATCTTGATTCTTATTTTTCCCTATATCCTGCCCTTCCTTCAACTCCTCCACCCCTTTCTATTTACAAAATCTTTGTTTCCATTTTTTTCATTTTCTCATGTTAATTCCATTACCCTCTTTCCTTTCCCTACCCCTCTCACTTTCCCTTCCCCTTTGCACCTTTTCTTCCCATTTCACGTTATCTATTACATGTTTTCATCCTTATTTGTACTTGCAGTTACTCACACCAGAGAAACTACTTGATATTTACACCTGTGTGTCCTATTTATTTCACTTAGGAGAATTGCCTCAATGTGCATCCATTTAGCTATGAATGCCTCTAATTTCTCATTCTTTATGGCTGAATAGTACTCCATTTTATTTTTTTAAAAAAACAGCTCATTTTCTTTATCCAGACTCCAGTTGATGGGCAACGGGGCTGTTTCAAGTTTTAGCTATTACAAACTGTGCTGCTATGAACATGGGTGCATATATATTGCTGTGACATGAAAAAAAAAAAAAACCAGCTCATTTTCTTTATCCAGACTCCAGTTGATGGGCAACGGGGCTGTTTCAAAGTTTTAGCTATTACAAACTGTGCTGCTATGAACATGGGTGCATATATATTGCTGTGACATGATTCTTTCAATTCCCCAGCAAGGGAATATCTGGGTCAAATGGGACTTCTAGTCCTAGTTCTCTGAGGTATCTTCACATTCATTTTCACAGTGGTTGCATCAGTCTGCACTCCCACCAACAAGAAGGGTCTGTATCTCCCACAACCTGCCAGCATTTTTTATGTTTGGTTTCTTGATAGCAGCTATTCTTTCCTGTGTGAGGTGGAATCTCAGTGTTGTTTTCATCTACATCTCTTGAATGACTAGTGATGTTGAAAGTTTTTTCATATGTTTATTTGCTGCTTTTACTGGTTTGTCTCAGAAATGTCTGTTTATTTCAGTTGCCCATTTCTGGATTTGGGTCTTTAAATTTGGGAGGATTCATTTTTAAAAGTTCTTTAGATATTCTATATAGTAGATCTAGCAATAGCTGATCTGATCTAGAACAGCTTATCAAGCAACAGCTCTGTCTGAGCAACAGCTGCTGAAAATTTTTTCTCACATTATGGGTTGTCTCTGCACACTGTTAGTGATTTCTCTTGCTGTGCAGATGCTTATTGATAAGAAGACATCACACTTGTTGATTGTGCTAGGTCAGGGGAAACAGGTTTTGTTCATAAAATCTTTTCCTACACCAGTGTCTTCAAGAGTTCTACCTAACCACTCTTCCAGCTGGTTTAGTGTTTCTGATTTAATATTTAGATCTTTAATCCATTTTGATTTTAGTTTAGTGCAAGGTGAGAGATATAGGTCTAGTTTTAATCTTTGGCAAGCTGAAACCCAATTTTTCCAGCACCATTTATCGAAGAGGCTGTCTTTCCTCCAGTGAAAGTGTTTGGCTCCTTTCTCGAAGATGAGGTAGTTGAGCGTGTCTGGAGTTGTTTCTGCATCTTCTAATCTGTTCCACTGGTCCTCAGGTCTGTTTGTTTGCCAGTACCATGGTGCTTTTACCATAAGAGCTTTGTAGCACAGTTTCAAGTTGGGGATTGTGATACCTCCTACCTTGTCTTTATTGTCTAGAACTGTTTTTGCTACTGTAGGTCTCTTCTGGTTCCCAGTGAATTTTTGGATTATTTTCTCAAGGTCTGTGAAGTATTCTTCTGGGATTTCATTGAATCTATATAGCAGTTTTAGAAGTATGGCCATTTCACTATGGATCCTTTCTACCCAGGAACAAGGGATGACTTTCCATTTTCTAATTTCCTCTTTAATCTCTTTTTTCAGAGTGCTGTACTTTTCAGAGTAGAGGTCTTTGATTTCTTCTGTTAGGTTGATTCCTAGGTGTTTCAATTTTTTGGATGCTATTGTGAAGGGAATTGTTTGCCCCATTTCTCTCTGTGAGTCTGTTTTTCATGTGCAGGAAATCTATTGATTTTTGTGTGTTGACCTTGCATCCAATTACTTTACTGTATTTAGTTATTGAGTCTAGAAGATTTTTGGTGGAGTTCTTGGGGTCATCTCTATAGAGTATCATGTCATCTGCAAATACAGACAATTTGACCTTTCACTTCCTGTCATTATTCCTTTTTTTTTCTTTTTTGTTCCAGGGATCAAACTTGGGACCTTCTGCTTGCAAGGCAGCACTGCTGAGCTAAATCCCCAACTCTCTTTATTCCTTTTATTTCTTTATCTTGCCTAATTGCTGTGGCTAATGTTTCCATACCTATATTGAAAAGGAGTGGTGATAGTGGACATCCTTGTCTTGTTCCTGATTTTAGTGTGAAGGATTTCAGTTTTTGAGGATTTAGTATGATGTTGGCTATTGGTTTTTCATAGATGGCTTTTATCAGATTGAGATAGAGACCATCTCTTCCAATTTTTTGAGGCTTTTTTCTAGAAGCTCAGGTTCAGCATCAAGTTATTTCCTAATATGAATATTAACTGTTATGAATTTCCATCATAAAACTTTCATTGCATCCCATTAGTTGTATTGTCATAGTCATGTAATTGTAGGAACTGTCTGGTTTCTTCTTTAACTTCCTTTGTGAGCAATTGGTTATTCATACATGTGTTGCTCAATTTCCATGTGTTTATGAAATTCTTGCAGTTTCTTTTGCTATTGATCTCCAATTTCATCACACTGTGGTCTGATAATATACAGGGGATCACTCCAATTCCTTTGCACTTACTTAAACATGTTCTATGAATGAATTTGTGGTCTATTTTGGAGAAAG